GGGGGTGATGGAATGAGCGATGAAACTGATATGAATTAGCTACCCCATGCACTTTTACTGATTACAGATGAAGATTAGAACAAATGGCGTAAAAATCAATGTTCACCTGAAATATTATTGCAATAAAAGGAGATTGGATAGAAAGGAAATGAAAAATTGACTCCTTTCTGAATGAAGTTCTACGATAGGATTCGAAGAAAAGGTTTCGAACAATATCCAACGAATAGGTCCAGTGTCAGAACATTTGCCAGGTACTGAGAGGAATTGACTAGACTAGAGATGAGAAGACTGGCTAGAGAATTCTTCAATATCAGCCAAGATTAGAAATATTCATTCTTTTATTAGACGCCTAACCAATTCTATTCTCGGATCGATACTCGCCCAAACTAGCCGAGCCTTCTACTGCTTTGGGATCGACAAATTATTATTAGGCTGGGAGGATGAAAGCGCTGACTCTTACATCGTGTCGTCACCCCAAGTCAATGTATGGGTTACCTACGCGTTCAAATCGCCACTACGATTCCGAATGGAAGTCAGATGCGGTGCGCATCCCGGAACGCGATTGATTAACGCATTGTCCTGATTATCCTTCTATGATCTCAACTTGACCCGCCTAAGCAGTGAACCTAATCGTAGCAAGTGCAACATAATTGTCAGGAGTTAACGGTACTCACAAAAGTCTGGCAGGAACAACAACAACAACAACAACAACAACAACAACAACAACAACAACAACAACAACAACAACGAACCTTTAAAAGAAAAAGGAAACGAAAGGAAAGATTATCAGAAGCTTGCATTAAAAGGGTCAAATAGTTTTTGTTGAGGAAATTGAAGCAGAGACCCCATGAGAAGTCCTGAGCCCATTGAATTAATGTATCATGGTCTTTACACTAGTGACGTCTGACATAATTTCATTCAGGCGTTGTTACGGCGACTATATTGGATCAAAACTAACCAACCAACATAAAGTAAACTCAATTCTAAGCTAAGCCATGCAGAGAATGTGTTTGGGCTGGGGATGTGAGCCCCTTTTGCTCAATGTTTTCCGAAATGAAGGATTAATGCTTGGGTGACGTAACCTTACGTAAGCCGACTTTACACCCCTATAAAGCACATCTCATGTTTCGCCAAGACTCTCGAAATCAGTTCGGCCTTATTTTTTCAAAGCCTTCTTAGCAAAAAATACTTGAAAGCAAAGTAAGATCTTAAGATTTGAGTGGTTCATAGATAAAGCGGCTTAACTTTCATAAAAATTCATACCCAGTAAAGTAAAAGTTGCTCACAAGCTGGGGGACGAGGTCGTAATGTCTGAAGTAAGTGTCAGACAGAATTTGAGAAATCAAATCTTATCTCTGAAAATATAAGGCACTTTAAACGGAAGTCAGGAAAATAGAGACCATCAGTTAGACGCTTTCGGTTTTCAATGATGCAATGATGGGAATATCGTATCAGTGTGAAGATAACAGCAGGTGGCCCAGAGAATTCGTGAACGAGTCCATGATGGATACGTACGCTGCTGACCAGGGAATGACGGAACGAGAAGCTGGATCCAGGCAAAGTCCTCTGAAAAAACGCCAGCGAGAGATCCAGAGACATTGCCTCGCTTTTTCACCACAGGCAAGATCGATTCTCTCGTCAGAACAGCAGAAAAAAACGTCCTCTCTCTGGAAAATTGCTATCCTTACGACGTCGCATTAGTTCAGAATTTTCATTCGAGTTTGTTTTCAGAATGAATTGCTTTGGCTCGCGTTGGCACGTAGAATAGATTATGGAAGGAATCAGTCGAACCCGGGGTGGTAGAGGGTTCCTCTGCTTGGTGTTTCTCGAGGGGACTCAAAAGCGGTGATAGGGGTTCGCTCCACTTAGTTCTGCACCCTGGATTCAAGCTTATCCACTCTTTACAGTAAACTTGAAGGCAAGTACAGCACATAATAAGAAATAAAAAACTCATTTACTTTACGACACCTCATACGGAATTCATCCACTGAAGGCGACCTCTTGCGTTTCCCTTCCCACCACATGCCTCCCCAACCCACCTCCATCGCCGTCGCTTCAAGTTAGGACGTACCACAGTATGCTGCCTCAACTTCAGTGGGTATTTTTGGGACCGCGGCTAGAAAAAAAGTCGGGTGGGCGAAGCTCTAGGGAGGGCAAATGGGAGAGTAAGGGGATTTTCACAGTGATCGAATCAGTCAGACCTGAATGTCAGAGCGAGTAGTCACAAAGAATCATAACTATTGATGCTAGCTACAGAAATTGCAGGAGCCACGGAGAAATCAATGGGGTTGTCGTTTAAGGACGGCTTTTTCATTTCATTGTGTGCAAATGCATTTTATTATTAATTCTTAATCGCATGTTCCCTTGGGAACCCAGTAAGCAGGGAATATCGCCCCCGATAATGGTCATTGCCGTTTTCTAAATGCATTTTGATTTCCTCAACAAAAACGGAATGGCTCAATGAATGGGGGTTACTAAAATGACTTTATTAGTACACCTGCTAAGACAAATACATTTAACGACTAACGTTCTGGCGAGTTACCTTCTTTGAAGCCTGAAAGAACGGAATGGACTCGTGGGATCATCCGACTAAATACAACAGCTGATGAACTGATTGTGAATAGACAAACTAGGTCATCCTTCTAGGAATACACCACACCCGTGGATTTGTATTGAAAATGTAGATGTGTTCCACAGCGTGTTTGCTCCTAATTCAGCTATGTTCGTTTTTGTTGAAAAATATTTTTTTTTACTAGAAAAAAATGATTCTGAAGAAGATTTTTCTCCTCACACTGCTCGGTGGCGGACCTGATGGAATTAGAGGTATCTATATGAGAGTCGAAGAGGTTCCATTTTGACGGCGTTGCACTCCTCAAGCTAACGAACTCCTCGAAATGAGGGTTATACATACGTGGGAAGAATCTATATACTGTTTTTGACAAGGCTGTAGGAGGGGGAGCCTTTACTATGCGGAAAGGGTTTCTATGCTGTAAGGAGGGATGGGTTATTGGAATTGCAACTATCAACATGGACATGGACGAAAATGGATGGGGCAGAGGCCTTTAAAATCGACAGTTCAACGTCGAAAAGATCGGGTAGAAGAGGCATTCCGCAATGGCAAGTAGCACCGGTCTAGGTCAAATGAGACTCCTGTTGATCCAATCTATTCAAGCTTTTTAGTTCAGACCTATGCCTGAGTTTTCGGGAAGATCGTGAGTTTTTTCCGAACCATTTGGTCCGTAGTCTGATTGACGCATCAATCTTTACCTACAGCTGGATTACTGTATGTACGGCTTCCGTACGATTTTCGTCTCTGTTATACCGCCAAGGCAATGGAACTCGTGAGTCAGGGGATGACTTCCTCTTGTTTTCGTTAAAATTGTGAGGACAAGGCATTTAACCGTATTCACTTTCTTCAAAATGAATTATTGCCTCATTCCCGATTCAGTTCCGACGGTACTGCTGAATAAACAGATACGCGCGTATATGGTAATTTGAAGCATTTCTAGATTACGGTAGGAATTAAGTTCCGTATAACAGGTGAGCTGTTTACGGCCCACGGTAACGCAGCTCTCAACCGAAATTGGATAAACCACGTTTGGCAATGGGGAACCTGTCCTTATCTTCGAATTCGTGAATCAGAGAACCGCTTCTATTCTTATTTGACAGTGCTAAATCTCACCAAGGAAAAGTATGTGACATATCAAAATTTCGATACAAAGGAATACTTGTGTAGCAGGGCTCTTTCAAGGAAATGAGAGGAACCTGATGAGCAAATGGTCATGCGACTGGTGTAGGAGAAATGGTTGCATCATCACATCCCAACAGACTAAATCCGGGCCATTAGGATTAATCCCGAGTCAAAGGCTAACACTAAACATTCATAGGGACCAAGTGAGTAGGAGTTTTTGACCAGAGCGGCCGCATTCAAGAACTTTTTGATTTCATTGTTTGGTGAAGAATACACAGGCAGACCGATAAATAGTCAGTTTTTGAATCTGACAATATCAACCAGATTTTCCCTCTCACTAACTATAATTCCATTTCAAATAAAGTGCTCAAGCACAAGTCAGAACCATCGCCCAAACTTACACTGGGAAGCCCCGCCCACTAGCGAGTGTTGCCGTAGAATTTCGTAATGCCGACGTAATGCTGACGTTTGCTAAGGTAAAATCATCGTTCAGTGATTCAACGCAGTCCATACGATCGTCATGCGATTACTAGTTTCTATATTCACTATTATTTTGTTATCCATTACGTTAGGAGGTGAGTTTTTGGTTTCTTTTCATGATTTATTGATATGAAATGAATATTCTTTGCATTTCTGAAGAAAAGTTTGCAAACGACCTTTTTTATTCTTCTTAATGCTGACTGTTATTCTTATTTCGCACAGCAAAGAATGCTTCAAATCATAGTGATTCATATTCTATTCACTTTTTGTTCATAAACAAATAGTGGTGGGCTTTTGTGTAATTATCGCTTGACTCAATCTGGTTTTCGAAAATGAACTTCGATTGATTTGTGAATTGGCAACGAGATTGTTCCCAGTTAAAACAGAGATGGTTCTTGTGCGCTGATTGAGTTTTACGAAAAATCATTTGCGTTTTCAAATTTTGCCCACATGGGAAATTGAGGGGAAAACTCACAACTGTATTTATTTTCCACCATATTTCTCTGGTGTGTTGAATTTGATAGCGGAATTGCCTTTTGCATAACGTGTCACGTCCGAATATTAAAGAAAGCTGGGTGGAATTCGGACCTAGAAAGGATCATTACCGTTTGGTTACTTAGTTGCGAGAAAGACCAAACATGAGCTAATTGGAAGTGAATTCCAACGTACTTTTGGTCTTTCGCTCACTTCCACCTGCTCACGTAATGTGTAACTATCTCGTATTCATCTTTTGCACACCATTTACATAGGTTTGGTTACACGGGAAGCTTTGTGCCACCTTCATCCTCTACCTAATTTTAGTGGAGATTGATATTTCAGATGCCCTGGAGCGATATATCGGAATAATCCTCCTCGAATTTCAGAGTGTGTCACTAATCGTGTGCTTCTCCGTGACGTCAATACAATCACTTTGCGCGAAGGACAGTACACCACAGGTACCTGCATTGATTTTTAGTCTGAGATACCTAGAATCTTTCTTATGACTTTTTGAACTTTCTTAACGCGCTAATTTGAAGTAATTTCCATACCTGGGTTGAACTGTGTTGCAAAATTTCGTTAAGACGTCCAGGTTGTGAGCTTTATAAAATCTGAATGATAAGTTCTTAATTTGTATGCACTGAAGCAGTGCGATGAACTCCATAAACATGTTTAGGTTTGAATTCAAAATCATGACCTTCCTTAGTATATTGCCTTGGTTCTTATCGTAGAAAAGCTGCATTCAGATGAATCATTGTTACTGGAACGCTTTGTAAGAGAATTAACCAAAACCTTTCTATTGTTGTCTCATAAGGGGACGAGAAGTTTTGAAGCCTGTTTTGAGCTTTGATCGGAGTTAAAAACTCATTCTTTTCAAGATAAGACAGCAGAAGAGATTTTTAATTCGAAAATCTTTCCATCTGCTGACATTTGTTTTTTATCTTTGTCTCATTAAAACATTTCTTATTCCTTCTCAAATTCTATTTCAATCTTTGATAGAAGTAAGCGTAGACCTTTTGGCCTAGTAGAGTGAGGAAATGTAAGAAGACTATACTTTCGAAAAGTTTTCCCGTAAATGCTTTGTCAAGCAGTATGCCTAAAAATCTTATTCGGCGTATTTAGGCAGAAGATCCAGTCCAGTCCCTCAGCTAAGATGTGTGGGAGGCAGCGCTCGAGGAAAGTTTCAGCCACGGGCTGCACAGTGTTTCAAGGAAGGCTTTGACGGGGTGGATTATCAATGGAGATGTGTTGCTGATATGCCTGCTGACTACGAGTTTGGGGAGGTAAGATTTCATTTTTAGGGTGATGAAATCTTGATTTAGATTTTGAGCACTTTTTCGAAAGAGTTTCAGTTTAGATAATAAATTCAAAAACAGCTTAAAAGTTATCTTTAGATCGCAGTCACATGTGAGGGCTACGACTATCCTGAAGACCCTTACATTTTGAAAGGGAGTTGCGGGGTGAGTCATTATCTCTGACCACCGATAAGTGCATGGCTGATCAGCACTTTTTCAGCTGGAATATGAATTGGAGTATTCGCATTCTGCGAGAAATGTAGGAAAAAGCAAATCAAAGTGGTCATCACTTTCTTCGTGGTCTTCTTGGCCTTATTGGAGTTCTTGGTGGGTTTTAATCAAATTTTACTATACACTTGTTGATTTTGCTTTTTGCTTCTAGCTGGATGTTTTTCAGGTTGACAACAGAGAACATTGTGAATTTTTGTGTGGCCGCTCTCATAATATACGTTATATATTCAATGCTTTCTAATAATCAAGGCGGTCCTCCTCGCGCACCTCCTCGATCTGGGTACGACTTTCTGTTTTAGTTCTTCTTTGGGCATTTTGAGTGAAGATATACCTAGAATAGAATTATTGCCAGAGCTAAGCAAGCACTTTTCGCCATCACGTTTTAATAGGTGGCATCCGTTCTCTCAGGCATTCCCTTCAAAATCGATCAATTTTATCTATTCTAGTGGTTACGGAGGAGGTTTCGATGGTGGTCCGGGATTCGGCGGAGGTTATCCAGGAATGCATCCTCCTCCAAGTGCCCCTCCACCAAGCTATGACGACACTATGGGTTTCAAAACTTCTGCTCCAACTGGTTCTGCTCCAGGTAGTAGTGGTCCAGGATTTTGGACTGGTGCTGGCTTAGGAGCACTTGGTGGTTACCTATTTGGAAGAAATACGTACGTTTCTTGTTCGCTTGCTGAAATGCTTAATTTTCTTATGAAAATTTCATCATCGTTTTAAGGGGAGGATCTTCGTCTGGAATGTTTGACAGCTTCAGAGGATCTCGACGAGTAAATGACAGATTTATGAGAGACACAGGATTTGATGATCACGATGCTGATCAACCGTCTACGTCTTACATGAGGGAAAGTACCGGTGAGAGTACCTTTTTTCATGTCATGGTGCGATNTTTTATGCTCAAAGCTCTAAAAAACTCACTAAAATACTGCGCACGTCATGGTAGTACGACTAAATTATACTTATCTCAAGCTATTTAGTCTCAGGAAGAAAAGGCTCCCTCCACGTCTTGCGTAGACGTCATTCCGTCAGTAAACTGAGGCATGTTTATTCCTCGAAGCACGTGGCCATATGCAATTATGACCTGAGATTTGATTTCTTCTTTCTGAATCTCGACCCGCCAGAACCTTTCACCTGCCTAGTTCCCTTATTTGAAATTTGAATTTTTATTTGATTTTCAAAGCCCCATGTCGAGACTACTGAAATTTCGGTCCTGGATGTCGAAATGTTTTGGCTTTTTTTCTAAACGATATAGTGAGCGGCAAAAGAGTATTAAATTCCTATCTAAAAGCTTTTTTAGTAGAAGAGGTCAACATATTTTTAAGCACTGGTATAATTCTCTTGAAATTAGGAAATTCGTGAACTCTCTCTGCTGCCTTTTTGAAGTTATCTTTGCCTCTCCTTTCTGATAACTTATATGTAGTGTGCATGGATCGAAGTTATCGTTGATATTTCAGGTTATGGTGGAACGAGACGTCGTTAGAACTGCATAAGAAACTTTTATCATAACATTTAATGAGTCATACTTAATCTCCTGGATTGATGCTGAGTTTTGTACATATATGTATATTACGATTCCCTTTTTCATTCGACTTCCGACTTTTAATGAATTGATGGTAATTTCTTTACCTGATGTACGTTTTCAAAGATTCGAGAGATTTATGAATGATGTTGGGGGTTTAAAATTCAGAATTCTCAACTCTCACACTATGCTATATCAATCTTTCTTTTGTTTCTGGGGTTAGAAGAGTAGACCAGCAATTTCGGAGTTGTATTTTTTCATGCTGCTTGAATGCTCAAAGTTATATTTAGAGGGGGTTCGTATGTTTCACTATGAGACCAAATGATAGCCTAATTTATTTTACAAAAGTCTCGAATGGTAGATCAGTAGCCTAGAACGGGTACAATTATACCGAGAACTAACAATGACAATAAATAGGTCGTCTTTTAAAAGTATTCGGCACTTTAAACGAAAAAGTTTGTCACTATTTGTCGCGTTCTACACTTTCAATAGAAAGGTTAGAATGTGAGCATTGGAAAAATGATAGCTCAGATTCTGCCAAGTGGAGATTCTGTCAATTGCTACCATTGCTTTCTTTGTTTTCTAATCTATCGATGTTGCTATCTGTTTTAGTGAGTGATTATGACCGAATGTTTACCGCACTAAAAAGCGTTTTCGTCTTTGTCGTTATCAATTTTTGTCATTATACATACACGTGATTTGCTGGACTTTGATCTGTGACTGTGAAGTATTAGTCGAATGAAGGAAAGGCGTTACGCGCTCATAGAATCAACGCATATTGGCTGGTGGCCGATGTGTCCCATGTGGTCTAGTGGTTAGGATTCGTGGTTTTCACCCACGCGGCCCGGGTTCGATTCCCGGCATGGGAAGAACGTTTTGCAAATTGGTCTTTCAATCTGTTGATTTCGTTGATGGTCATGCACATTTTACACCTGTGTTGAGGAACAAAGGGAGAAGTTATAGGGAAGTCAAAATGTAAGTCATAGAGCAAGCTGTCTAGTTCGTGAATTAATTTCACTGGCATGCACTCGTTCTGGTCATGAATCACCCCTCGCTCCCTCCTAGATAAGGTAGAAATTGCAACCATAACCCTTTCTTGGGAGTTTCGCAGTATTCCGTGAAGTTGTAACTGGGATGACGTCTCATGTTTTGATAGGTACCTTGGCCTTCAAAACCTGCAACGTCGCTGGCATCATGTTTCAGTGGCGCATCGCTCCTGTCTGATCCAAGACGAAGCCTTCGCCTCTTATGGTACCAGGGCGTGAGAGGCTGAAGGGCTGCTTCTTAAATCGAGGCGAAAACAGGATCCAGACCCTGTACCACTACGACGGTAGACAAGGGCTTTTAACGACAGGATTTGGGAAGGTGGAATTGAATTGTAGGCGAGAGCTGTGATTAGTACGTCGAAGAAGAAACCAAAGCTTGAATACGTCGGACAGCACTGACAAATGAGATCCCAGATTGATAGAGATGCCGACTCTATCAATCTGGGATCTGCCCAGACTAGCCGCAAAAGTCGATCCGACTTGCCATGTAGCATTCCTCTCACCATGCACCGTACACCGACAGCTCTCTGTGGAGCTGTCGGTGTACGGTGCATTTCCCCTAGAGACCACAAGGCGCATCCTAGCGGCTTTCCTATGAAGTTGGTCGAGAGACTACAGGTAGTTTAGAGGTTTTGTACTCCAAGGTCTTTATGTTATGTCTATAACTCACCACGGTGTGGTCGGCACCTCATGACTTTACGGCTTTTCTATTTCAGCTTTCTTCTGGGAAATCCACAGTTCCTGCCAATTTTAAAAGCTTGAGGTCCCTTGGAGATTAGTTTCCTCGAATTCACAAAGAAAATCACTCATGTTTACCCATTTTTCGGGATATTTAACGTCTCAGAAACATTTTGTAGAGTTTACTAGCAAATGCTGCTCCGTGGTTGCTTTGCCCATGTAAGCACCAAGTTCCCCAAATGCAACAGCAGCATTTTCCGATCTCTTGGCCGACTTATCGTTAGAACTCAGTGGTAAGCTGTTGATTCCATGGCGAACGCCACCCACTCAGTTACGCTCTCTCGCTCTCCTTCAGTAGGCGCTCCATCACCTTCACTGCTTATTCTCTATTCAACTTCCAGCATTTTTTATCAGTTCCTTGCTGCTCCAGGACCCTATCTTCTCAGTGCGCCTATGCGATCAGAATTCATCTTCAGCTCTCAAGTTCCAATGTCTGAGAAAAGTAGAAATCAGAAAAGTTTTTGAGGCTTAGATTTACCGTAGTAGTCGGTGGGTTCTCTTCGATGAGAAACTGTGAAAAGTTGAGGAACCTAAAGTATAAAGGGCTTTGTTTGAAGGCACAGTTCAGGATACTATGATTTTAGAAGTGGCACGGAATGGGTACCTCCCGGGCTTCAGTTGTGTGCTGTTGCGTGGAACTGCCTATAATAAGCCGGAAATGCCGAAAATGCCTTCTATTGACGCTTGGGACACGACTAACTGTTGAGTTTACGAAATATGTGCTCCAATGTGAATGGTGCAGCCATGTGGAGCATTCGGTGGATACAATCATTGTGCCTTTATTAGGTCTAATTTATATAGGCCATCTTCCGATCTGACAGCACCACATACGGCACACTCTGGGGTCACGGAATCATCCCAGAGGGATAATTCAAGAACAACTGTTGCTCTAGATGTACCCTCTTTGACTAAAGGCATAGCAGCGCTTTTAGGATCCACAGGCTCTCGTCGTACTCTCCCCTTCTTGTTTCACGGTCCACAGGCTCTCGTCGTACTCGCCCCTTCTTGTTCCAAGGTTGGCCTGCTGCTCACTTCCCTTCCGAACGCCCACTCTCTTGTACAGGAGAACACCAAGTGTGATTTTCCGCCTAAACACGCACGCACACTCCGACACATTTCGTGGGTCACTTCCCTACCTGAGTGGAGTCCTGCGCAAGTCATGTGTATTCGAGTTATGTGGTTCGTTCTCCATTTAATCCAATTTGGCTACAGTTTTTTTTCAGATTGCGTTCACTTTGCGCATGTTCCATTCTCAGTCCTATCGTCATTGTTCCTCTCCTGCTACCTGTACCTTTTCCAAATTCGCTCATTTTCGCGTTATGTGTAATAGGATGGATTAATTACTGATCGTGAGTTGGTCCTTGTTCATGAAGTCCACCTAACTAAGCGGGCTCATCCTGAGAGTGGGCTGATGTCAAATTCAACTGCCTTCAACTAGTAAAGTCTTCTGCACTTAGCTGCCTTCTTTTACCATCAGTATATTCTGCAACGTATGGTCACCAGTGAGAATCGAGATCTGACCCGGAACTAGAATGATGTGTCGTGACGAACGTTGAGAAAGAGGGCAATGCTTGTCTGGAACATATGCGAACAATTCGGGCACACTAGGAGTACCTCACTCCTTCACGCGCCAGTTAACTCAATTTCCGCTAGTGGCGCTTACTTGACTACGATGCCATCCTTAGGCCATCGAGCACATGAAATAAAATGGAAACCACTCTGCATTTTCTGCGTCCTTCTTTCAACAGAATTTTGCATCAACATCAAAAGCTGTTCCTGCTTGAACCTTTGATTTCCGCAATTGCAATGCGCATTTTTTTCTTCTGATCATATCAGGGGCACTACTACTACTGTATTGATTGTTTGCTTGGTGAAATTCTTTCCACCAAGCAAGCAATCAATACGAAATTTGAGACAAGAATTTTTTTCATGGGCTTTCAAAATATTCCGTTATAATGCCGAATGCTTCGTCATAGCACTGTCAGAAATTTTTACCTCACCGGTGTTGCCAAAAAAAATCCATTGCTCTTAGGGTGTATTGCATGTATTCGACTTAGGATTGAAGCCTCAAATAATGATGTGGTAGTGTATAATTAAATAAAGGATAAAATAAAGGATAAAGTTTTTGGCGTCAATCAATCCAGTCTGAGGGATGCGCCCCCGCACTCGACTTCCATTCAGAATCGTAGTGGCGTAATGAGTGCGTATGTGGCCTATACAATGACTTGCGGTGGTCAGCCGATGTACAAGTCCACACTTTTATCCTCCCAAACGAGTCTGGTACCAGTTAACCGACCCCGGAGGGATGGAAGGCTTGGTTGTCCGGGCGGATATCCACCCAGGATTCGAATCCGTGATCATGCGTGTGTGAAGTGCGCCACTTGCCCCTACACCTCCTCCGCTCCGTCTAATCAAAT